CACCCAGGTGGAACAATAAGGAAAAAGGTTTAATTGACTCACACAGTTCCACATGGCTGGGGATGCCTCAGGAAACTTACAATCAAGGGAGGTGAAGCAAACATGTTCCCCTTAACATGATGGCAGAAAGGAGAAGTGCCAAGCAAAAGGGGGAAAATCCCCTTATAAAACTACCAGCTATCATGAGAACTCACTCACTATCACAAGCACAGCAGCATGGGAATAATCACCGCCATGATTAAATTACCTCCCAGTGGGTCCCTCCCATGACATGTGGGGATTATGGGAACTGTAATTCAAGATGAAATTTGGGTGCGGACACAGCCAAACCGTTTCATTCCACCCTAGACCCTCTCAAATCTCATGTCCTCACATTTCAAGACACAATCATGTCCTTCCAATAGCCCCATTCTAGCATTAACTCAGAAGCCCACGTCTAAAGTGGCTTTGCAGGGTACAGGCTTCCTCCTGGCTGCTTTCACAGGTTGGCATTGAGTGCCACTTTTCCAGGTGCACAGTGCAAGATGTCAGTGGATCTACCATTCTGGGGTCTGGAGGAAGGTGGCCCTCTTCTCACAACTCTACTAGGCAGTGCCCTAGTGGGGACTGTGTGTGGGGGCTTCAGCCCTGCATTGCCCTAGCAAAGGTCCTCCATGAGGGTTACATACCTGCGCAAACTTCTGCAGAAGTTCCCAAACCTCAATATTTTTAAAAAATTTATTTATTTATTTTCATTGTATTTTAGGTTCTAGAGTACATGCGCAGATCATGCAGGCTTGTTGCATAGGTACACACATGGCAATGTGGTTTGTTACCTCCATCCCCCCATCACCTACATCTGGCATTTCTCCCCATGTTATCCCTTCCCAACCTCCCTACCCCTGCTGTCTCTCCCTTGGCCCCCCCCAACAAACCCCAGTGTGTGATGCTTCCCTCCCTGTATCTATGTGTTCTCATTGTTCAACATCCGTCTATAAGTGAGAACATGCAGTGTTTGATTTTCTGTTCTTGTGTCAGTTTGCTGAGAATGATTTCCAGATTCATCCATGTCCCTACAAAGGACACAAACTCATCGTTTTTGTGGCTCCATAGTAGTCCATGGTGTATATGTGCCACATTTTCCTTATCCAGTCTATCGTTGATGGGCATTCGGGTTGGTTCCAGGTCTCTGCTATTGTAAACAGTGCCACTATCAACATATGTGTGCATGTGTCTTTATAATACAGTGATTTATAATCCTTTGGTATATACCCAGTAATAGGATTGCAGGGTCAAATGGAATTTCTGTTTCTCAGCCCTTGAAGAAGTGCCACTCTGTCTTCCACAATGGTTGAATTAATTTACACTCCTACCAACAGTGTAAAAGTGTTCCTATTTCTCCACATCCTCTCCAGCATCTGTTGTCTCCAGATTTTTTAATGATAGCAATTCTAACCTCAGTTCTTCACTGCTTTAGAGGCTTGCACCCTCTAAAGCAATGGCCTGAACTGTATGTTGTCCCCTTTTTAGCCAATGCTGGAGTTACAGCAGTTGGGACAAAAGAGCACCATGTCCCAAGGGTGCATAGAACAGGGGTGAGGGGGCCCTAGGTGCAGCCCAGGATACCATTTTTCCCACTTAGGCCTCTGAGCTTTTGATGGGAGGGGCTGCCTAGAAGATCTCTGACATGCCCTGGAGACATTTTCCCCATTGTTTTGTTGATTAACATTCCGCTCCTCTTTACTTCTGCAAATTTCTGCAGCTGGCTTGAATTTCTCTCCATTAAAATGGGTTTTACTTTCCTACCATCATCAGGCTACAAATTTTCCAAACTTTTAGACCCTGCTCCCTCTTGAACACTTTGCTGCTTAGAAATTTCTCCTACCAGGACCAGGCGCAGTGGCTCATGCCTATAATTCCAGCACTTTGGGAGGACAAGGTGGGTAAATCACGAGGTCAGGAGTTCGAGACCAGCCTGACCAACATGGTGAAACTCTGTCTTTACTATAAATACAAAAATTAGCTGGGTGTGGTGGCACATGCCTATAATCCCAGCTACTCAGGAGGCTGAGGAGGAAGAATAGCTTGAACCCAGGAGGCAGAGGCTACAGTGAGCTGAGATTGTGCCACTACACTCCAGCCTGGGCAACAGAGCAAGACTCTGTCAAAAAAAAAAAAAAAAAAGAAAGAAATTTCTTCCACCAGATACCCTAAGTCATCTCTTTCAAGTTCAAACTTCCATAGAAGCCACAATTTATAAAGGAAAGAGGTTTAATTAACTCACAGTTCTGCATGGCTGGGGAGGCCTCAGGAAACTTACGGTCATGGTGAAGGGGCAGCAAACATGTTCTTCACAAGGCGGCAGGAGAGAGAAGTGCTGAGCAAAGGGGAAAAAGCCCCTTATAAAACCAACAGATTTAATGAGAACTCACTATCATGAGAACAGCATGAGAGTAACTACCCCATGATTCAACTACCTCCCACTGGGTCCCTCCCACAATGTGGGGATTATGGGAACTACAATTCAAATGAGATTTGGGTGGGGACACAGCCAAACCATATCACCCTATATTCAAATTCACTGGTTCTTTCCTCAATGTCCAGTCTACTGACATTGAAAGAATTCTTTATTTCTGATGAGGTGCTTTTAATTTCTAGCCTTCCATTTCACTTTCTAAATCATTTTCCCCTTTCTGCTGAAATTCTCTCTATATATTCATGCATGTTTTTCACTTTTCCACTAGCTTTTTAAGCATATTAATTATAGCCCAATATATGGGTCATTTCTGAATCTGGTTCTGTTTTACCTCTTTTTCCTCCTCCCTGCTTTTTTGGGTGTCTTTTTTGATCATATGATGGATATCATACACAGTAGAATAGTAAAGACTGAGGTAAATAATATTAATGTCCAAAAATAAACATGCTGCTTCTGTCTGGTCAATAATGTGGGTAGTTGAGTCAATCTGGTCAGGAGTTGTGCTGAATTTGGGTTTTATTGTTGTTATTATTGCCTTCACTGTACCACAGGCTTTATCCAATTTCCTCTAGCATGGGGTTGCTATTGCACTCTCTTAACATGGAGGCTAGAGTGCTGGGGAGTTTTTCTCAGTGCCCTTCACTCAGCTTTTAGCAGTGAGTGATTGCATGCCTGTGTTACAGAAAGGTCTCTCCCCACACTTTTTTTCCTCCTCACTAGTTGACTGGTGTTGTTTGTCTCCGGTGCTTGGCTTGTGGTGGGGAAAATGGGTTTTTCACACTCCTAGCCCTGCCTTGGTTTTAGGCAGGCCCTGTGCACCTGAGCCTTAGATGTGGGGGTTTCTCAGTACTCCTGACATTTCCCCATTGTAGCCAAATCCTTCCTTTATCTGTGGTGGGTCCTGAGTGAGAGAGGGTTTCCCAGTAGCAGCCAACTTCAACTTTCTGTCGGTTCAGGACACTGAGCCCTAGTGTTTCCTGCTCCTCAGAGGGTAGGTTTGTGCTCCTATCTCTTCTCCAGCAGCATGGGGTCTCTGCCAGGACCCTGCTGGTGGTAATGCTTCCTGCCCTTACCCCAGTGGATAAGGTTTTCATATGGGAGAAAGGTTTGGAGAGGTTAAGTGGAGTTTTATGATTGTCCTCCAGTGACAGAACTGTCACCTCCTAATATTCTTGTCATCTCTGGAAAAATATTTATTGCTCATAGAGAGAAACGTAGTGTTTCAATATAGCTTCTTTACAGATATTTACTAAGGATCTGTGATATAAATAGCACTTTTAATATTTAGTAAATTGCTGCCTGCTTTATATATCTGCAGGAAAATACATTGATCATTCAACAATCCACCTTTTTCTTTTGGCTGCTTTCCAGTGCCATCCAAAATTAAACCAAATCAAAATGAAGGTGGTTAGGTCGAAAAGCTGTTGTGCAAAAAGCAAGTGCACACCTCACCTGGGACTATAGGAAGGAACTGGATCAGGGGCTCTGCTGTTTCTCTAGATAAGCTTCACCCAAGTAATGATGGTTTATTTTTAAAAATATCCCTCTGAAGAGTCCCTTACAAGGAAATTTCTGAACTTTTTAAAAGCCATACAAGAAAATTTCTGAACTTTTTTAAAGCCATACATGGTGTACACATGGTCCCAAGCGCTTAAGGGCAGTTGGTTACACCTTCCTTTGAGGGCAAGGAAGGCCTCATCCATCCTACTCGGAGTTGTAGGAAAAATGAAGCTTACCTATTTTTAAAAGGATAATTTATGTTACTTTGGGTTCTCTAAGATATCTCAGCAAAAGACCAGAATTAGAGAAGACCGTCCTAGTTAAGTATGGAATACTGAATCAAATTAATGGGTTCCATGGCCTGTGGAGGGAATGTTCTTTAAAATATATATATTACTATATCTCCTAATTATCAGTATTAAAACCATTGAAGTTATACATTAATTTAAAAATATATTACATTAAAAAACTTTTTTTTTTTAAACATAAGCGCATTTTAAGGAAACCTTAAAGGAACATTTTACAGCCCTTTTGTACTCTGAAATGTGGTGTCCGAGATTAGACATACAAGTCAGTGTTATTTAAGTGGCCACATTTCCAATTTGTTACTGCTTGTTACCAAATGAAAGTAAAAAGGAAAACAGAAAGGTAAAATAAAGAAACTGGCTTTTAAGTATTTATTTACAAAAAGGGCGTTTGCCGAAGGACCTTCCCATTCACAGGCTGTCACTCACAGGCGCTCGGAGAACTCAGCCTCCAAATCCGGCAGGTCACAGGTCAGCCGAGTTTTAAGAAACACTCGGAGAGGGCGACCCCTTCCTCTCTACAACTCCCACCCCTGCGCCGAGGGCGGCGGGACGCTGCCGGGAGGTTCCCAGGGGAAGGTGAGGCCCTGGACGCCCCGCGGGGACTGGAGGCCCGGAGGCCCGGAGGCCGAGGCCGGGAGCGTGCCACCAAGATCGCGCCACCAAAATCACCTCCGGCCTGGGCAAGCCGAGTCCCCAGTCTGCAGGCGGCGGCCGGAGCAACTGGCCAGAGTTCTACCTCCGCCCCGGGGAGGCGGGGTCTCCGCCTTTCCCGCTTTCGGTCCTCACCGCCCCCTCCGCCTTCTCTGAGGCTCCGCGCCACTTCCTCTCCTTAAGGCCGAACCGGCCCCTTAGGGCACGGGTCGCGCGGAGCTGACCCCGGACGAAATGCGGCCGCGCCAGGGGCGGTGGTGGCTGCTGTTCTGGCTGCTGCCCCTGGCCACACTGCCCGTGCGCGGGGAGGCGGTGACGGCGGCGGCGTTGTCAGGTAACCCGGCCCCGGCGGCGCGCGCGTGCTCGCTCCCCGGCTTCGCGGCCGCCCGAGGGCGCGCTCTCTGGTCGGGGCGGCGCCGCGAGGTTCGGGGAGCCGGGCGGGTGCTCTCATTTCTCGCTTCGGGGTCGCCTCGCGGACGCGGCCCACAACCGGGCAGGCCCCGCCCGCCCTTCCTGCCTTCTTGGGCTGCTTTGGTCTCTCTCCTGGCAGTTGGACATTTTGTATTTTAGGACTAGAAGCAGCCGCGCAATCCAGTCGCCCAATTCGCTCGTTTTACAGAAGCAGCCGAAACTCAGGTTTTGGTTTGCCCAGCACACGGCCTTTTGTACAATGCATCAATGCGTATTGAAATCCTTGTTATTTCACTATCTAGTATTCCTTTGGTCTCAAGAGTAGAGAAGGTAAGAGCTTCAGCTTCACAATCCGACGAAATTCTCCTGCCCCTGACTGGCAGTTGTGACCCGGAGCGAGTAGCGTAACGGGTCCCACGTGAGCCGCCGATAATGAGGCCTCGCAAGGTTCTGTGGTGTTTGTGTGCACTATGCATGGCGCACAGGAAGCAGCAACTGGTAGCCGCTGCTAGCGTTAGGGGCTCGCCACGGAGTGGGCTCAGGATCCTGGCACACTGGGGAAGGATCTGGAAGGACACCTGGGGGTCAGAAACCTGGAGTTCCAACTCCAGACCTGCTGCTAACTTACCATGAGCTTCACAGTTTTTCTTTTTTTTCCTCATAAAATCTTTTAAAAGATTTCCTGGATGCACGCTCTACCAACTTCCCTTCACTGCTTTGGCCACCCTGGTTGCAAGGGAGGCTGCCAGGTATATTCTGTTATCTGGGCATGGCCCTCCCTCCAGTTACACCGCGTTTTTTTATCTAAGGATGAGTGAGAGACTGGATGTTGATGAGGTCATTATCAGATTCTGCCACAGCTACCAACTGAGGGAATCTTGTAGAGGGAGTTACTTGTTAGGGAACTGTTGGATACCGGTTTTCATTGAACAGACATTTGTTGAGTGTTCATTATGTGCTAGGCAGTGTTATAAGTGCTTTAAGTGCAGTATGGATCATATTTCATACCCATAGAAGCTCTATGGGGGATGGTGCCATTTTATTCCCATTGTATAGATGAGAAAAAAAAGCCTTGGTAGTAAGAAATACAATTATGTGCTGGTGAAAAAATAAAACACAAATCTGCCTAAGCAGGAAGGTTTCTGGGCATGGCAGGGAGAAAATTAGAAGTAGCCTTAGACCAGCACCCAGTCCTTACCTTCAGCCACAACTGTGGTATAACCTGGTCCAGGCACAGAGTCGTTATGGACCATAGTTTTCTCATGAGTAAAATGAAGATATTTTTACTGAAGAGTTTCCAACATTTTCCTCACCTCAATGAACCTGGTGTTTTTAAAATTTTTATGTTACCGCATTTAGTATAATAGTAACAGCCTGCTTCTCTGTTTTGTTAATGAAAGACACACATAAATGCTTATTGGAGCTTCCGTTCTGTCTGAAACATGCAGGATGCCCACTGAGTTGATTAAAACTAGTCCACAGCTAAGAAGAAAGACAACTTCTGTAGCTTCACAGGGTTGCCTGCCATTCCAATAGCCTTTCCAATAGGGACTGAAGCGCCCAGCATCCTGTAGTTTGCCAGTGACACTGTGTTGGAAGCTCTGGATTAGACGAGGCCTAAGAACTATTGCTGCTCTTTAAAAGTCTGGTTTCATGAGGACCCTGAGAGGAAACAGCTGGTACTTCCTTTAAGCAAGAGGCTTGGATTAGGTGATACTTAAGGTGCCTTCCTGTTCTAAAATTTTGTCTTGAATAACACATCCTTCAATGGAATGAAGAACATTCAGACCAACACCAGCTTTCTGTCACTCTATTTGGAGAAAAGTCGGAGACAGTTGACAAAGGAGGAGCAGGTAGTTGTCTGACTGAGAGGAAGAGAAATGTCAAGCCAAGAGTTTCCCATAATTTGCAGCCAGTGAGTGAGATCTCTAAAAACCATGTGTTGTCCTGAGATGAAGTTCAGGCCCTGGCAGTGGCTTCCCAGGCTGGAACTATGGTAGCAGTCCATTTGAAACCACAGCTTTCAAATTCATCTGTGAAGAAAGATCTGGGCTTGAAGTTAAAGACTTGAGTATGCATTAGTATGTACTAATTCCAGTTTCATTCTCACGTTCTTGAAGTAATAAAAAGCTTAATATTCAGGTTAAAAAAAAAACTGAGGTTAAGAGAATAGTTATGTTTATCACTTTGGTGCCTCATGTTATCTCCTTTGAAAAGGTGAATTTATAAAAAACAAATACTAAGAAAAACCCTGACTCCATTTGACTTCTCACAAGTTAAAACTTGTTGGTTTTTTGCTTTTTGTGTTTCCTGCTCTTCTCCCCTTCCTTGTGCCCAAAGAAAAGCAGCTATAGGGCAAATGGAGACATTTGTCATATAATATAATAGCTATTTATATTATGATTCCATTCCAGTTTTATCTGAAGATAATTTTTTCCCCCATATGAGGGGGCCATGTCAGTTTTCAGGAGGAAAATTGGTGAAATATTTTTATGTTGGGAGTTAGGTTCTGCTAAGATTTGAGGTGTATATGTGTTTTATTTTTAGCATATTTTGTAAGTAGGTTTAAGCACTACCTGCCCTTTTCTGATGTTTTGACTGAAGATTTTTTTTTAACTGTATATATGACTCAACTCTTTAACTTAAATATATACTTACATTTAGGAACACTAATGACAGAAGTACTACAAAGGAAATAATTGAGCTTATAATTAAAGTAAGTGACATGCAGCTGTCCCTTTTTTATACTAGATATGTAGTTCTAAAATTAGATTAATTGAATATTTATAAATCAACTTGTATTTAAAGTGATCTAAGGAATCTGTTTCATTGACTAAGGGAACCCTGACTTTCTGAACCATTTGGTAATGTAAATAATGCCTCCTGTAGCATTTTAGTGATTTGAGCACAACTCTCCAGAAATATACTGTTCTCTAGAAGTCAGGTTAATTGAAAAGATAAGGGAGCCTGCTGAGGATGGCAAGAAGGTAAGAACAATTATACCCTGCCAGGCTTAGAAACCTGTCTTTCCATAGTAAGGATGGCATTCAGGGTTGATCCCACAGATACTCCTCAGTCCTTGGGAGATGCAGGCTTGGGATAGCCTACAATTCCAGATCTTTCTCCCAATCTGATTGAGGCTTGAGGAAGTGACTACCTAGGTTATGGAGCACCTTCCAGGGTAGGGACATATTAAATACTTCAGCATCAAGTAGAAGCAGTAGCTTTCCTTAGGCAGGTATTGTTCCTTTTTGACTAAATGAATGATTATTGTTAGTTTTTTAATGAATTCCTAGAAACTCTGTTTCATTTCCTGGATTGCATTATAAGGATGTTGTTGTTCTAATTTTTAAATTTTTATTTATTTATTTATTTTTGAGACTGGATGATGAGACTGGCTAATTTTTGTATTTTTGTTAGAGACAGGGTTTTACCATGTTGCTCAGGCGGGTCTCAAATCCCTGACCTCAAGTAATCCTCCTGCCTTGGCCTCCCAAAGTGTAGGGATTACAGGCATGAGCCACAGCACCAGCCTGTGGTTGTTTTGATATGTTTGAGTTTGCCTGCATTTGATACCAAGAGGTTCTATCCGATTAGAATTAACCAGCAATAACTGGGGCCTCATGAATAAGTGAAACCCACAGAGATGTAGGCAGCTTCATAGCATTCAGTGTCAGGGCATAATCGGTGATAGAGTTCAAATAAGCAGTCAGACTGGTTCCGTTTCCTATTTCCCACCCTCAGTTGGATAAGGAGATTGAAACTGAACAGTGAAATGTCTCTAGAACAAGATTGCTAAAGAGAAGAGAGACCTAAGAAATATATAGCCTTTATAATCAATCTAAAGTTGGAAGATCTGTTCTCTCTAGGAAGGCCGTGGGCCAGCTGTGACAACAGTCTTGTGACAATCACTGTCTTTTGCCTAGTCCAATTGGCCCATGGCTTACTGAACTGACTTGAAGCTAGGCTTGCAGCTTCTTGTGGCTGAATTTCCAGTTCCTTATTTAGGAATGCCTTTGTGGGTTGATTGAAACTTATTCACCTCGGGAGAGAGGTGAGGGGATAAGAAAGAGGAGCAGCCAGAGGACACCATGAAGCACTGACACCTTGTCTGCGTAATCTCATGGATTATGTACATTCCACATCAGCTTCACCTTAAAAGCCGGAGGCCACTCTGGAGAATTCGAGGGAACACACTGTTTGCAACATGCTTTTACTAGTGTGTGTAGATGTGAATAGTTAGGGCAGCCTCCTTTCTTCCATGCTATCCTTAATCTGGTTGAAGACTGAGGGAAAATGCAGAGCAAGTTTTTCTCTAACTGGCAGATCCCTTACACAGACTACACTGAGGTATCATATAAGAGCCAAATAAAAACAAGCTTAATGCCACCTCTTCTTTCTGCCCTCCTTTATTCAATGAGGGGCAAGAAGATGGTCCCCAGCCCAGGGGATGTTAAGGGTTGTAGCACTCAACCCTCTAGCTATGGATATGTTGACCATGGTGTAGGGTAAGGGGGAATTGCAGCCTGTGGCTTCCAGACTGACTCTTATGCTTTATGGGTTCTGTAGAGGGGATGGCAGTGGCACAGGCTGGCAAGGGTACCCTGCTATGTCAAGGGAAGGTCAGAGTGCACCTCCTTTTATGGTGCTAACTAGCTCTGGCCAGGCTTTTATAAAGATTGGCTGGACTTCCACTGGTGGGCCACACATGCCCAATTTATCCTCTAGTCCTCTTGAATCACAAGCTACACACAAAAGACAAATATTTAAGTGCTGGGGTTACAGTAATAAACATGCAGTGTCCCTTATTTCATGGAAAGACAGAGTATAAGCTAGTAAATACATATGTAATATGAAGAAAGAATAAAGCCGGTGAAAGTGGTTGGAGTGTGTTTGTTTAGATAGTGGGATCAAAGAAGGCCTTTCTGAGAAGGTAGCATTTGATAGAGTACATCAATTATTGGAAGGCATGAGCTCTGCCAAAATCTGGGAGAAGAAGGTTGCAGACTGAGGAAACTTAAGGTAGGGTGGGCTGGCATCTTGAAGACGGGAGGGCCAGGTGTGGCTGCAGCAGCTGGGCTGGGAGGAAAGTGGAGGAGAGGTCATAGAGGCACTCAGGTCCTTGGAAGGGAGGGGGATTTTATTAATGGAGTAAAGGGAAGCCATTGGAGGGTTTGTTTCTTTTTTTGAGTCGGCGTCTGGCTCTGTCACCCATGCTAGAGTGCAGTGGTGTAGTCTTGGTTCACTGCAACCTCCGCCTCCCAGGTTTAAGCAATTCTCCTGCCTCAGCCTCCCAAGTAGCTGGGACTACAGGCATGTGCCACCAGTCCTGGCTAATTTTTTTGGATTTTTAGTAGAGACAGATTTTTAGTGTTAGCCAGGATGGTCTTGATCTCCTGACCTCATGATCCACCGCTTGGCCTCTCAGAGTGCTAGGATTACAGGTGTGAGCCATCATGCTTGGCCCTGGAGGGTTTTAAGCAGGTAAATGATATGTTTTGATTCATTTTGTTTTATGAGACAGAGTCGCACTCTGTCGCCCAGGCTGAAGTGCAGTGGCGTGATCTTGATTCACTGCAACCTCACCTCCCAGATTCAAGTGATTCTCCTGCCTCAGCCTCCTGAGTAGCTGGGATTACAGGTGTGTGCCACCATGCCCGGCTAATTTTTGTATTTTTAGTAGAGACAGGGTTTCACCATGTTGGCTAGGCTGGTCTCGAACTAACCTCAGGTGATCTGCCCACCTTCCAAAGTGCTGGGATTACAGGCATGAGCTACTGTGCCTGGCCCCAATTCATGTTTTTAAAAGATCCGTTTGGTAATTGAAGAGTAGGTTGTAGGGGTAAATGTGGTGGTGGTGGTGGGGCAAATCTGGAAGCAGTGAGACCAGCTAGGTAGAAGACTATTACAGTCATCCTAGTGCAAGAGGAATGTGGCTTGGGTAACAGAGAAGCATTTACTCCTATGTTGAAACTGCAGTATACACTATACTTAAATTGCATCATCTTGCTCTTAAGAGCTCTGGATTTCTAATGATTTAGGAGACAGTCTTAGGACCAAGTGGAAAGAGCCTTATTTGAAGAGAGCATTTGATTGCAAAGCTCAGCCCCCACCAAAAGGCTGTTTCCTCAGACCATTATCAAAAGGGAACTATTCTATGGGAGTTGATTTAGCCCCTGAAGTAGCACCATTCGCAAGGAGAAGATTGCAGGGAAGGTCCCTTGGAGGCATCCACAAGAAAAGCCCCTCTAGCATTGAGCACATGGGTGGTGAAGAAAGATATGTCTGGAAGTAAACATTCTTATCATAGTTTGGGCTGTTGGGTCTGTGTACCTGAGACTTCATGCTGTTCACCTGCTCTGCTGGAATGCACTCCCTTTACAACAATGGGTATCATAGGCGGGTGATGAAAAATGAGAACACATGGACACAGAAAGGGGAGTACTAAACACTGGGGTCTATTGGGGGGAAAAGGGGAGGGCCAGTGGGAGGGGGAGGTGGGGCGGGATAGCCTGGGGAGAAATGCCAAATGTGGGTGAAGGGGAGAAGAAAAGCAAAGCACACTGCCATGTGTGTACCTACGCAACTGTCTTGCATGCTCTGCTCATGTACCCCAAAACCTATAATCCAATAAAAAATTAAAAAAAAAAAATAAAATAAAAATAATAAAAAAAAAAAGAATCCTTCCCTTTTATTTGAGGACTCCCAGTATAAAGTTCTCAACTCTAACCATGTTCAGAGACCCCCCGAGAAGCTGTGCAAAGGCAAAACATGGTGAGGTGAATCCAGAGACCTGATCCCCCACCTCTGCTGCTCACTAAATGGGAGCATTTAATGTGTTCTCATGTCTTCTCACTGCAGTTGCTCAGAATCTTCCAGGTTATACACTACTTTCCTTGACATTCATCTTTTCTACAGGAGCTGCCAGCGCTTTGATATCCCTGGGACTGCACTTCCCTCTGCCCTTGGCCAGCAGTCATTTGCATCTCAGATATGTCCAAAAATGTGTTTCAGCATTGGTTGCTTTGTGTGTTCATAGCCTTGGTTGTGAAATGCAGAAGCATGTTTTGCATTTTTGGTATCCTGTATTTAACAGAGAGCCCCTAGAGGAGCCGTCTCCAACCTTTTTGGCAACAGGGACTGGTTTCGTGGGAGAAAACTTTTCCACAGGACAGGAACGGGATGGGAGGCGGTTTGGGGATGAAACTTGCACCTCAGATCATGCATTAGTTAGATTCTCATAATAAGCATGCAGCCTAGATCCCTTGCATATGCAGGTCACAGTAGGGTTCACGCTTCTGTGAGAATCTGTTGCCACTGCTGATCTGACAAGAGGCAGAGCTCAGGTGGTAATGTTCGCCCACCACGCCCACCGCTCACTTCCTGCAGCCTAGTTCCTACCAGACCATGGACTGATATTAGTCCTCGGCCCCAGGGTTGGGGACCCTTGCTCCGGAGGTTCCTTCTTATGCTTTTTCCTCACTTTTAACCTGGATTCTTGTATTTGCATCTTGAACTCTCAAACTCTAAATTTCTTGATATATTTAGAGACATATGCATTTCATCATAATGTGAAAAGTAAAGATGAATGATTTGACTGTCACAGTTGAATACACTGGGTCCTTATGTAACTTTGCTGTTTCGTGTGGTGACTGGAGAACCCTCCCTTTTATGGAGCTGTGTTTTGGGAGATGGTGAGCATTCCCAGGATCCTTTCCCTAAGTCTGTCTTCACTTTTCTCCAACTTTATGCTAAGGATATTTCAGGCCAGGACCAGGGACTTGTCTGAGCATATTCAGTGTTATTCCCTACATGGATGTAATTGTTTACTAGCTGTTACTGGTTACTCAGTTCTTCCCCAACTTTGGTGTAGCAAGTTGTTCTAGCTTCATTTCAGGATTTTCAGGAGAAACAACTGACCACTCTTTCCTTAAAGGAGTCAGGGGTTGCGCATAAAGTCCATTTCTGTGTGTACCCATAAGTGTTCCTTGTTCCTGTTTCCTGTTGGACAGATGTGGGGGTGACACTCTATCTTGAATCCAGAAAAACTTAGGACTTTCATTCTACTTCATTTCAAATCCAAATACAGCAATGACCACAAAAGAAAGTGACCATCATTACTTTCTGGTTTTCTTGTGGCATTTACATTAACCCTCTGTAATGCTGAGGGTTCATATATATCTCTCTTCTCTCAGTTATGTTGATTTGTATTATATGTGACATACATATATATTTAGGTATCTGTATCTGTCTCCAGCAAAATTCTTGCTGGAGTTGTAAAGATCATCTTCACGTAATCCCACCAGTGAAAACTCAGTATATCCAAAATTGAACTCATTCCCACTTCCCTTACAGACATACTTCTTCTCTAATATTTCTTATCTGAGTAAAGGACCTCACTGTCTCTTCACTTACCAGAAACCTTCACATCATATTCTTGTTTTCCTTGATAAAATGAATCTGCAAAACCTGTTGATTTCATTTCCTAAACTGTTTCTTAGTCCATGTCTTGCTTAGATTTCTTCAGTGGCCTTTTTAGTGGTTCTTCTGCTTTCAGTCTTCTTCTTCAGTATTCCACATTACTTACGGAATGTTCTTTCCAAAATACAAATGTGTTTCTGTCACTTCCTTACTGGTATTCCCTGTTGGTTGCTGTAGATCTATTCTCAGCCCTTCTCTTCCCCGCATAGTGTCTGGAAGCTAACCTCTATGGATTGCATTATATGGGCTTCTTTGCCCTCTGTCTTCCTCTTGAGTTTGGCTGATTCAGGGCATTGAGGGGACAGTGGGAGAGACAGGTTGTGGTACCCATACCTTCACCCTTCCATTCCACAGGAGTCCTGGCAGTGGCTGCATTCCTTTAGACGACAGTCCTCCCAATTCCAGTGACTCCAGTAACATGGGATCCTCCACTTGCCATTTTGGGACTCGGGAAGCTAAAAGCTTCCTGCTGTTGTTAGTGCCTGGGAACTTCATAGTACCTTATTGTTAGTGCCTTAACCCTGTCCATATCTTTACTGAACTATTTTCAGTTAAATCCATTTGAGTGTCAATAGTTTCTTGCTCAGACTGATACTTACCTAAAATCCTTCAATGCTTTGCTTTCAAGATGAAGTCCATATGGTATAGTAGTATCCATGGTTTACTACTCCAGGTACAGGTGTACAAATACCTTCCATCCATGCTCCCTCACTGATATAACAATCCAGTATCTGTAAACTGAATTAATTCTATGATTTACCTCATCTTCATGATTCTGTACACACTTGCTGGTCCTGCCCACCCCCACTCCCACCTCCTAATTTTTGTCTCATTGCCTCTGCCTTACCTTTCAGCCCTTTACTCATATTTTTGTCTTTTCTGGGGAGATGCCTGTAATTCTTGCTTTCTGCTTCAGAATTGAAGGGGTACCTGTTCTCTGTGCTCTTAGTGCCCTCCAATGTCATAAGTATTGACACTTGGGCTATAGTATTTTCTGTCTGTCTCTTCTTTGGTTGGAAATACTGAAGGACTATAATTACCATGTAGGAGAATTTATTGGCCATCGAATGTTAAAACTACTACTGTTACCTCCCTGTGAATTTTTTTTAAAAAAAGATTCTGGGCAACTAAAGATTTAGAAAATGTATTCCCTTTTCCATCTCTCAGTTCAAAGGTGTAAAGCTTTGAAGGAAAAAGATTTAATTAGAACTTCTGAGTCAGACTGTTACTGCTACAATCAAAATTCCCATATGGAGTGGAAATACATGTGGTCAACTATGGAGGTAAGGGCCTACTTTTAAATCATGTATTAGGGACAGAGAATTACCATGTCCTAGGGACAGGAAATGTACCATTTCAGGAATTGAAACTATTTTTGGTATGATACAGATCTGTGTATCAGTATGAAAGCTGACTTGAGGATCAGACGCAGTGATTCAATGGGTGGGCAGTGTGAGAGAGGACATTAACTCCTTCATACTGTCCCTCAGCCCCTCCCAAGCCACTCCCAATGAATATACTATCTAAATATATGCAGCATGCCTGCAGTTCAGGCACATCTCAAGACAGCATGTTCCTCCTACTTTCCAAAATTGCTATCCAAAGCCTCCAAATAGGAATTCTGGAGTAACCACTGATCCCAAATATGGCCAAGATAGGAGTTGCTCTCAGTTGCCTAGTACTTTCCTTCATTCAGCAGTTAACAAATATTTATTGAGCACCTATTAAGTGCCAAGAACTATTTCTAGGCTCCTAGGATACATCAGTGAACAAAATAGATCCCTGCCATTGTGGATATTTACATTATCCCAGGTGGGGAATAGTAAACAATAAATATAACAGAGATGAAAATGGTAAAACTAGTAAGTACTATGAAAAAAGAAAATGTAGAGTACAATCAGTGGGATGAGAGAAGTGGGAACAAGTTGGTCAGGGTAATTCTTGTTGAGAATAACATTTGAGAAAGATTTCAGTGGAGTGAGTTACCCAAGCATGTACCTGGGGGAAGGTACCCGGGGGAAGGCTCAGAGAATAGCTGGAACATTGTATCAGGAAGCATTTGATGTTGATTGGTACCATTGCTGATACTATGCACCACTTTGATCACTTGCTTAACGTAGTGTCTGTCAGGTTCTTCCACTAAAATTACTATTTCCTTCCCTTTAATGAATGTTTTGAGGTGATAATTTGAGACTATGTAGATAAACTCTTCCTCATGAAACTTTCATCTCTTAGTTTATCATTCATTGATGATGCTTTACTGAATCAATAATCATGTTGATGTTCTATATCATTCTTTTTTTTTGAGACTGGGACTCACTCCAGTTATTTAGGCTTAAGTGCAGTGGTGTGATCTTGGTTCACTGCAGCCTCAACCTCCCAGCTCAGGTAATTCTCCGACCTCAGCCTTTCAAGTAGCTGCAACTGGGTCACACCTGTCTATTTTGTTTGTTTGATTTTTTTTTTTTTTGGTATTTTTAGTAGAGATTTGTTTTTGCCATGTTGCCCATGAGTCTACTGAACTCCTGGACTCAAAGCAATCTGCCTGCTGTCAGCCTCCCAAAGTGCTGGGATTATAGGTGTGAGCCACCACGCCCAGCACCATTATTCCATTTACATTAATTGGCATTCAACTATAAGGAAGAGTTTTTCCTCCTTCCATTTATTTATTTATATCTGTATGGTCTCACAAATTGCCAATTAATTCAGGAGACTACAGTCCATTACTCTCATTATTTATTTTGATACTCAAATTGTCCTAGACTTGGCCAGTCAGATGGAGCCCCTTTCAAACTAGCTCCTGTGTCCTTCGAACATGTGCCTTGCATCTTTGAGCACTACTTTCCCTTCTAGCAAACAAGATATTCTAGGCTTGTTGTGTAATTTCCTAGACTCAGCTCTGGAATCATACATTTTTTCCAAGGAACAGTCAACAGTGGGTGTGTTCATTACTACTGGCATATCATCATGTGTGTACACACACATACACACCCATACACCTGCACATACATCTATATCTACCTATTAGAAACTGTGAGTTCTGAGATCTCCAGTATGACAGGGTTCATTCTTGTTTTCCAGTTTTCATATTTGTAACTCCCTGCTCTGATAATGAGAAACCTCGTTCCCATTATCCTCAAATATATTTATTTATTTGCCCAATCCCAGAATACACTAAAAGTGGTTTCAGAATTGCTAAGTCATAACATCACCAAAACAAAACTAGTAACAGGAGTTCAATATTTATTTATAGTGTTTTTAAAAAATTTTTTTCTGAGGTTGTGTATTTCAGGTTAATTCACCCTATCTACTATCAGTATGGGGGTGAATTATTCAGTATGGTTACATTATTCATTCAAAATATAGTTTGCTTTTATTTGTTTCCATTTCAGGCTGTTCCTCCATCCTGGTCAATTTGATTGTCATTTTCATTTTATATTTGTTTTAGTTTGTTGACAAAACATCACTGTATAAAATATTTGAAGAGATTTATTCTGAGCCAAATATGAGTGACCAATGGCCTGTGGCACAGCCCGCAGATCCTGAGAACATGTGCCTAAGGTGGTCAGGGCACAGCTTGGTTTTATACATTTTTAGGGAGACATGAGACATCAATCAAATATATTTAAGGTATAGATTAGTTAGGCCCAGAAAGGCAGGACAACTTGAAGCAGGGAAGGTGCAGTGTTCCAGGTTATAGGTAGATTTTAAAATTTTCTGATTGGCAGTTGGTTGAAAGAGTTATCAATAGAAAGGAATGTCTGGGTTATGATATGTAATTGTGGAGACCAAAGTTTTATCATAGAGATGAAGCCTCTGGGTAGCAGACTTCAGAGAGAATAGATTGTAACTGCTTCTTATCAGACCTAAGGTCTGTATTGATATTAAATGCTGGTTGGCATTTTCTAAATTCCAAAGGGAGGAGAATATAACGAGGCATGTCCAACCCCTGCTTCCTGGCATAGCCTGAACCAATTTTTCAGGTTAACTTTGGAGTGCCCTGGTCGAGAAGAAGGTTCGGTTCAGATGGTTGGCAGGGTGGAGGATGTTGGAATTTTATTTTTGGTTTACAAGTTTTGTTTACTTTTTTATTCTCAGACAAGATCATAGTGGGTTTTTTAAATGGCATTTTATTTTTAATTAAAAAAAGCTTTCTGATTTTTAATTTTTTTAGATTTGGAGGTACATGTGCAGGTTTGTCACATGGATATATTGCGTAATACTGGGGTTTGGGCTCTACTAAACCCATCACCCAAATAATGACCATAGTACCCAATTGGTTGATTTTTGACCCTTGCCCCTCTCCTTCCCAGCCACCTTTTGAGATCCCCAGTGTCTGTTGTTTCCATCTTTATGTCTGTGTTATTATCATTATTTCTGAGTATCTACAATATTAATATGGCTTGAAAGTTAAAACTCTACACAAAGGTATTTTCAGAGAGGTGTCACTTTCCTGCCTCCCTCTATTAATTCCTATCCAACCCTTGTAGGCAATCAGTTTGAGTAGTTTCTGGTATATCTTTCCTGTGTCTTTTTTTTGCAAAAGTAACTAGCTGTGCATATTTACATAGATGGTACCTAAAGCCATGAAGCTGAGTGAGTTTAGATGGAGAAGAGAAGACGACCAATGGCTTAGCCTGGGTTAGTCTTATATTAAGAGTTCAGGGAGAAGGAAGGAGCCAGCAGAAGAGAGACAAAAGAAGCAACAGTGAAGAAGGAGATGTCCTGGAAGCCCTGGGGAGATGTGTAATGAGGAGAAGGGAATAATCAGCAGTGCCAAATGCTGTTGATAGGTCAAATAAGATAACTGAGAATTAATTGGGCATTTGGGTTAGCAACATAGAAGCACCAGTGACCTTGTCAGGGCAGCCTTTTGGACATGAAAGCCTGATTGAAGTGGATTAAATGGAGAATGGAAAGAGAGAGCCTTTTGGACATGAAAGTCTGATTGAAGTGGATTAAATGGAGAATGGAAAGAGAGAATGGAAACTAGAGACTGAAGGCACGGGCAGCTTTTTAAAGGAATTTTATTGCAACAAGAAGCAAAAAAATGGGTGGTAGCTGGAGGGAAAAGTGTAGGCCCTAGAAGGTTTTGTTTCTTCTTTTTTTAATGTTGTATGCTAATAGAAATGATCTCATAGAGAGGGAAGAAGTACTACTGGGATGTCCTTGAGTAGGCAAATGTGGACAGGATCCAGTGCCCAAGTTGGGACTTGCCTTTATGGAGCCTGTAAATTTCCTCTGTGGAAGAAATTTCCTCCCCACAGGCAGGAAGCAGAGCATGTGCCTGCAGGTGCTAACAGGCAGGTGGCTTTGCACATAGGAGCTGGTGGACATTCACTTCTGATTTCTTCCATTTTCAGTGAAGTAGGAAGGATCAACAGCTGAGAAGAAGATGGGGAGGAGGTGTTGGAGTACTGAGGAAGAAGTTGTGAAATCCTTTGTTGCAGAGGGTAGAAGAATGAATGAATACTAGTATGTGGTTTGAATAACTGCAGCTTTCATGTCCCTCTCCAACTTCACAGTCATGGATTTGAAGTGAGACCGGTGTGCATTTCTCCAGCACACTGGTGATGCAAATGCTGGAGTAGAATGGTGGAGAGTTGGATTTTGCAAGTGAGCATGACAAAGCAAGTGGGATGCAGAGGAGTCAAGGGTATGTGCCAGGGAATGGTGTATAATAGTTGATCATGGGATTTAGCTGTCTAAAAAGAGACTGAGGATATCAAGGGGGTAAGGAGCAGGAGAAGGATGTTCAGCTGCTTGGGGGGGTTGGGGCACTAGATGGGTACTCTGGAAAGATAGGAGATGGTGTTCACACAGTGAGATGCATGAAACACAATGTATGGAGGGGCTGTAGTCTGGTACTGACAAGGTCCGGGGGATGGCCATGGAAGTGATTAGCTGAGGTAGGGAGGACAAGAGCATAAGAGGAAAGGAGTCCCAGGAACTGAGAGGCGAGGATACTGAAAGGATTGGTGTGTATATTATATATACTGAAATCCCTGAGAAGAATGGCAGGAAGTAGTATTGAAGAGAGAGCAATTTGAGCCAGGAGCCAGAAGAAGCCAAAGTCAAAGAGAAATGTGGGAGTTGTAGATAGTGGGTGATATTATCTGATAGCCTGGGATTCAGAGCTAGTGCTCTTACTTCCCTTTTCAGGTTTGCCCTACTCTTAGACAAAGAAGAGGAATAAAGAGAAGGACAGACAAAGGCGGCAGTGAAATTGTCATTTAATCACCACTGGGTTGTCAACATTGGCTTGTAGGTAGTGCTTTGTTGAATGATGTGAAGTAGGTAGTGCTTTGTTGAATGATGTGAATAGGACCCGAGGTTGGGATCTGGTCCTTCAGCAGGCATGGTGAGCGAAGGCTGAATTACAGATGCTCACCTGATCCAGAAAAATGAGGTGCTTTTCCTTAATCTCAGTAGAAAATGGTGTCAGTCTAAACCCTGTTTTCAAACTATGCCTACTCACATAGTTTGCCGCCTATTACAAGCATACTTCAGAGATAATGTGATTGTGGGTTTGGTTCCAGAACACTGCAATAAAACAAATATCCCCATAAAGCAAGTCACACAAATTTTTTGGTTTCCAAGTACCTATAAAAGTTATATTTACACTAAACTGTTAGTCTGTTAAGGGTGCAGTAGCATTATATTAAAAAAAACCTATATACCTTAATTTAAGAAATACTTTATTGCTAAAAAATGCTGACACAAAGACATAAAGTAAGCACATGCTGTTGAAAAAATGGTCCCAGTAGACTTGCTCGACACAGGATTGCCACATACCTTCCATTTGTAAGAAATGCAGTATCTGCAAAGCACAATGAAGTAAAACAATGAAATGAGTATGCCTATATTTTCTTCTCATCCTTTTTAATGTCTCTTGGCCACAGTAACTTGCTAGAAGAGGGATTTAAATTAACCACAGCTAACGGGGAGAAGCATTCACTTTCAATAATGTCTATGGTTCAGTATTTGTTTGGATTAAATACAGTTCTGTTGAGTCCACCTCTGGGATCAGAACATAGAACACTACCCTGTGCATTTGAGCATTCTTTACTCAGCTGACCTTGGGTTCTCTTTACTCCTCTGCTCATGTTTTTAAGAAACCTATAAGAAGTTTTGGCAAGGTGCAGTGGCTCACATCTATAATTCCAGCACTTTGGGAGGCCACAGGAGGCAAATAGCCTGAGCCCAGGAGTTTGAGACCAGCCTGGGCAACATGGCAAAACCTCATCTCTCCAAAAACACAAAAATTAGCTGGGCGGGTGGCATGTGCCTTTGGTCCCAGCTACTTGGGAGGCTGAGGTAGGGAGGGTCACCTGAGCCCTCGAGGCGCAGGTTGCAGTGAACAGGGATCCTGCCACTGCACTTCATTCTGGGCAATAGAGAGAGACCCTGTCTCCAAAACAACAAAAAGACAAGTTATTCTATTTATGGATTTGTTTGTTCTTGTTTTATAGGTGAAAATTACCAGTCCAGGCCTTTTCAGAATTGTATATATCACAATAAAATATAATTGTCAATATCCAGAAACCATACTATCTTTTATCAAATGTGTGATTCATAACTTTTGGACACCAAAGGAATCTAATGAAATAACCATAATCATCAATCCATACGGGGAGACTGTGTGCTTCTCTGTGGAGGCTGAGAGGAATAACTATATGATACATGTGAATCGAAAAAGTAAGTCTGATTTTATTATACTTGACTTTCTGAATTTAGTTTTTCTGGAGTAACTTTTCAATAAATTGACTTTCGTCTTCTTTTACCAACATTACATTGATAAAAAATGTTTGTTATGTGTTTGTGTGTCTTTTTTACTCCAGTTGTGGATTTCAAACTCTTCTTTGTGTTCGTGGCAGGAGTTTTTCTTTTCTTTTATGCAAAGACTCTGAGTCAGTAAGTATTCCTTTTTATATTTTTAACTTTGTGAATGAAAAGAGGTTTAGGTGAGTTTTCCACCACATGCTAAATATTTTCACACTGTTGTTCATTTGTAGTCTTGCTTTAGGCTTTGCAGACCGTAGGTCTGAAGATGGTGTTGGAAAGGACTTTGAAAACAGTAACAGTTATTTCTATAGCATGATATGTTTATGTTACAAAGTGCTTTCACATATTTTATGTATTAACATATTTTATTAGCTCCTGCTAATAACTGTGCAAGCCCTGTATTATTGTTCTCATTTTACAAATGAGAAAAGCAACATCCTTCATCACACTACTAGTTCTTATCAGGGCTGGAGATTTGTTCCCTGGTTTTCTGGCCATACACCTTGCTCTATTATATTAGAGCTGCCTCCTAGATTTATGGTCCTGATATGGAAGGCTGAATATAGCAAATATCTGACTTTTAGAGAAACATATTATCTTTTTCTTATTTATTACTGACGTGTTCTCATCTGTGAACCATTATTCTGATGTTTTATTTCTTGGAATTCTCTCATGAGAAAGAAATATTTTTTCAATATTTTACTTCTTAGCTTGTGGATTCTAGGTTAGTACCCCACACTGGTCAGCTGTTCTTAACATCGCTTATTTTGAAGCTTTTCCTTATAGTGTTATCAAGTGTGTTTAATGCCATCTATGAATTTTATAAACCACACGATGCATACACAGCATGAAGAATAAAGCCTGGACTCCGAGGAGCTGAGCCGTAATCCCTAATCCTCCAGTGAGCAGATGCTGACTTAGGGAAGATTTTTTAACTTCTTGGTGCCTTAATTTTCTCCTTTCTAAAACCTGGAAAAGTGCCTGCTGCATGATAGGTGTTCAGTAATCATTGTCTGATCATATCCTGAATATGGAAAATAACTCAGACATTCTGTTTTGAGTTAGTGGCAAGCAACTTACCATATTACCATAAATTTCAAATATCCATTTTGTTTTTTAAGAGTAATGAGAAAGTAATGTAATGAGAGCTGCCATCTGAGTTTTTTGTTCTTAGCATTATTTATGACTGATGTTGCCAGGTTAAACATATTTTTCATACTGAACGTGCTGTTGGTATTTAAATGGCTTTTATCTGTTTATCTTGACAGAAGCCCTACTTTCTATTATTCCTCAGGAACTGTGCTAGGTGTTCTAATGACATTAGTCTTTGTCTTGCTGTTGATGAAAAGATTCATTCCAAAGGTATGCATACTATGTGCAAATGAATAAAAAATGGAAATCATGATCTTACACACATGAAAAATTAATCAAAATTAATCCACATTATGATAGTTTATAATTTAAATTATGTTTCTTCATTATGTAAACTGGCTTTAAAATTTATCTTTTTCTGGAGTTCCTGATTGTATTTATTACTATATGTAGGCTTAGCTAAGTATTAAGTTTTGGTGATACTTTTTTGAGAACCTTTTACTTTCTAGGTAATGTGTTTTTCTTAAATGATAGAAAGCTATCTCTATATTGAGTGAAAATATCTATTTATTGAGCTGGGAATCTCATGATGCTGAACCATTGGCGCCTTGAATAACAGCACTGCTACATCTGGGGATTTTTTTAAATTATTATTAGTTCCCAACACACCTTTTTGTTTGTTTGTTTGTTTGTTTGTTTGTTTGTTTGTTTGTTTTGAGACAGGGTCTTGCTCTGTTGCCCAGCCTGGAGTTTAGTGGCATGATCTCAGCTCACTGCAACCTCAGCCTCCTGGGTTCGAGTGATTCTCCCGCCTCAGACTGCCCAGTAGCTGGGACTACAGGCACACATCACCAGCTAAGTTTTATATTTTTTGTAGAGAGAGGGTTTCACTGTGTTGCCCAGGCTGGTCTTGAACTCCTGAGCTCAAGTGATCCACCCGCCTTGGCCTCCCTAAGTGCTGCGATTATAGGCATGAGCCACTGTGCCTGGCCACACCTTCAGTAAAATAACACACTGAACTTAGTTGAGGATAAATATATAATTCATGATGGTGGTGTTGCAGTTACACTGATGAAAGTTTGCAACAGCAGCATTATTTTGAGATACATTTATTCTTTGTAACAGTGCTTCTACAACTTCAGTGTACATGCAAACCACATGGAAATCTTGTTCAAATGCGGGTTCTGATTCAGCAGTTTGCGGTGGGACCTATAACTCTGCCATTCCAGCAAGCTCCATGTGATGCTGCTACTGCTGTTTTGTGGACCATATCTTAACACCCTAGGGAGTTTCTTAAAATGACTTCAATTCAGTTTTATTTAGGAGTTTCTAATACAAAAGCTTTATTTGTTTGCTTTTATTTTTATGAGAGTGAATGAACCAAAAAATATGTGATTTATTTTCTTCCACACACAGTATAGCACCTTTTGGGCTCTAATGGTTGGTTGTTGGTTTGCTTCAGTTTATGTTGTGTACCAGTTGATGGAAGATCTGAAGTGGCTGTGGTATGAAAACAGGACATATATATTAGGTAGGTAAATAGAAAAGTAGTATACTCTGTGATTGGTAAAACTGAGATGTACAACTAGAGCCCTTCTTTTGATGGACTTTTCTCTCCAATGTCTAAATTTTCATTTTGAACTGAGGAAAGGTGCTACTAAAAATAATATTTTGTTTATCTTATTCCCATTGTTGGTGATTTCAATTCATTTAGATCTCATTTTAGATGATTTCCCTATGACATATTTCTTAGTTTTCTATAGTAATGATCAAAGAGGAAAAAAGAAGTGTCTCTTGAATTCACATGCTGCTGAATTGTGGTTAAGCTCTGACCACATCTAACTTGTAATATAAGTGTTTCTCTGAAAAGCAGCTGCTTATTTCTTTCTCTTAAGTATTCAGTAAGAAAGGTGAGAAATCCTAAATATAAATAAATAATGAAAACTTGACTTTTCAGAAACAGAGAGGCTAAGAAACCATTTATTTTCTTTGTCTTATGTTATGAAATAAATGCTTTTGTTGTTTATTTTAATAAGAAAATAATAGACAATGAGAGAATCAGTTTACTCCTAACCTTTAGCACCAAATTTCTCACGTAAGTTCACTTCCCTCACCAGCAATTAAGTTTTTTGTTTTACTTGAAAATTGTGTCTTTTTAGCTCATTCTTCTTTTTGTCCTACTTTTAAATTACAGATATCATGGTATGCTCCCCTAAATACTTTGCTATTCATCTCTAAAAAACAAGAGCCTTTCCCATATAATCAGTTAATTATTATCTGAAAAATAATTACATAAAATAATCTATTACCCAGGCCATTTCCTATTCTTTTTTTTTTTTTTTGAGACAGAGTTTTGCTCTTGTTACCCAGGCTGGAGTGCAATGGCGCGGTCTCGGCTCACCGCAACCTCCGCCTCCTGGATTCAGGCAATTCTCCTGCCTCAGCATCCTGAGTAGCTGGGATTACAGGCACGCGCCACCATGCCCAGCTAATTTTTTGTATTCTTAGTAGAGACGGGGTTTCACCATGTTGACCAGGATGGTCTCGATCTCTGACCTCGTGATACACCCACCTCGGCCTCCCAAAGTGCTGGGATTACAGGCTTGAGCCACTGCACCCGGCCGCCATTTCCTATTCTTGATGGCTTATATAAACCAGGATATGGTCCAGAACCACATTTAGCATCTGCTTTGTCCTGTAAATTGCTTTTAATCCATAACAATTTCTTTTTCATCATAGTGATAAGCTAAAGAGACCAAGCTTGTCCTATAGAATGTCCACCGTCTAGATTTATCTGATGACCTTTTTATGGTAGAATTTAACATGTTCTTCTCTTCTGCGTATTTTCGGTAAACTGGAAATTAGATCTCAAGGCTTGGTTAGATACAAATTAAACACTTAAGGCAGAATACCGAAGAGGTGATGGGCACTTCACCTTGGATGATACCCAGAGACACAGCATAGCTTATAGTCTCACCATCATAATGATGAGACTGAACATTAGATTCAGAGGGTGACTGCCTCTACTGTAAAATTACCTTTTATGACTAGAAGGTAAAAGTAAAAAATAGGATTTTTAGCCAATGGTGACATACAACTCTGACTTCTTCCTGACCAAAGCAATCATGATAACATTTGTCTAGTCAGGGCACTGGACTAAAATATAGACAAAGATATATTATCATAATGAGTGTGCATCCCAAATTATTGCAAAAGTCAGTGTAGTATCTCATATGGAAGCAATAATGCCCTATGTGCATTTTCAACCTTATGTCATTGGGAAAAGAAAATAAAAATTAAGGTACTCTAATAGTTTTTACCTTTAAGTCAAGGCTCTGCCAGCTTTTTCACAAATTTAATGAAATGTCTCAATTTTAAATTTATATCAGCTTACCTCTTCCACTTTTCCAGGCTACGTCTTGATAGTTGGATTTTTCAGCTTTGTTGTCTGTTACAAGCATGGGCCCCTTTCAGACGACAGGAGCAGAAGTCTTCTGATGTGGACACTGCGGCTCCTCTCTCTGCTTCTGGTCTATGCTGGTGTGGCCATGCCTCAGTTTGCCTATGCAGCCATAATCCTCCTCCTGTCCTCCAGGAGTCTGCACTACCCACTGAGAGCATTCAGTTACATGAGGTGGTATGTATCATTGTTTTCCCCAGCAAATTCGACATTTTGAGCTCTAGTTTTATTATTTGGGGGAGTTTTTGCACACACCATATTTAATTTCATAATTACATTTAATCTGGAGATTTCTTTCTGAACAAGATTGGGTGTAGATGGGAAGACAGTCCCAAACGTGTGATCCCATCTCTATGCCTAGTCTTCATTAATCGTTCAGAGGTGTACCACCAATTACCAGGTAATTAGAGCTCACTCAGAATTCACTAGAGTCCATGGCAGAAGTACTTGGGCTCTGGGTTACCTAAAATTTCTTCTTTTATTCAACATTTTCTTTAATTAGAGCCAAAGACTGCTTTAGTGGTATCAGCTTTGCATCTGAGCTATGAGTTAGGAAACAGAAATAAATCATAAATGATTGAAAGGTATTATTTGTATTTAGGACTTTCTTTTCTCTTAGGTTTTAAGTTAAGGCTTACACCCTTTGAAGTATAAAAAGAAAGGAGAAGTAACCTCTGTCATCACAGCTTTGTTATGTCTCTCCTCAGTCATTGAGTCTGAGCAGCTGTTTTCATGTCAGGTGCACAGATGGAGATGGTTCTTACCCTTGAGTTATTCTTGCTAGACATATATTAACATGGAAACTTTGCCCAGGGACCAAGGGTATATAGAGAAAGCCAGGAGAGCTTTCCTGGAGGAGACATTACTAGGCTGAATCTTAAAGAATGAATAAAAATAACCAGATGAATAAATGTGGAGGACTTTCCTGATGGAGAGAAAGCCCCATTTGCTACCATCAGGAGGCAGGCAGTGCTGTTAGTGCAGCAAGCAAGGTAGGCTTTGGCCAGATGCATGGCAGGCCATTGCTAAGCAATCTAGTCCAATCCTGTACACAGTGGGGTTTATATGAGACATTCTAGTTAGTCCTCTCTGACTGCTACCTGTACAGCAGTTATCAAACTAGTTGCTTAGGACCCAGACAGAAACTATGGTGAGTGATGCTGAGCAGGGTTAAGGCAGCGGTGACCAGGAGGACTGTGGGAAATTCTGCAAACAACCTCATTGAAAATGGAGCTGTCACCACTCAGCTTGAGCTGATTTCTCTTCTGTGGGAATATGGGTCCTGCATTGCCAGATCTACTGGTTTTCTAGAAAAACTGGAAATGGGAATTAGGATTAGAATTTGAAATCTTAGGATTTTTAAATGTTGGCACTTAAAAATAAAAATAATTAAAAATACATTGAAATCACACCAGAGACCATAAATACTCATTGGCTGGTGGGATGTGGCCCATCTGTCTTCTGGCACAGCAAGTGGATATACAGGGGAGGTCCCTATGGCAGGAGAACAGTTATCAGACATCACAGTGGTCCAGGCAAGAAATGATAAGGACCTAGGTTAGGACCATGAGACCCAAGGCTGGAAGAGGGAGTGAATAAATGTTCAAGAGATAAAATGGGCTGTGAAGAAGGACACTATGGTGACTGGTAGTTTATGGAACTGGTAACTATGTGTGTCGCAATATCACCGGGTTAAAATTGCACCAGTGACAGAACAGGGAACCCACACAGAAGATGTTGGCAGGGATGAAAGGCAGCGGGGCAGGGTTGGAGGGTTGATGCTGACTGGATCTCTCTTTGCCCCATCTGCCTGAGGCAGACAGTGACTAGGAACACCAGAGGTCGTCTGTCAGTAAGGCTGCCCCGCCCCCAATATCTTTCAGGTCCCTGGCCCTTTGCCGCGCTTGTGGCCTGAGGAACCCAGGATAGAGTTCCTTCTTCCTTCCTTTTAACTATCCAACTCCCTGCCAAGAGCAAAGTGCATTCTGCGCAGTGGTTCTTTTGTGCACTTACTGTGTTCTATATTAATCAAAATGTACTATAACTTCCTCAACTTAAAATTTTGCTAGTGAATAACTATATAAATAACTAGGGAATGAAACAGGAATTGATGTTATATAGTACTTTCTAGTTGTAAAGAGCGGTTTACTTATATTTTAATAATATATGATAACTACTCTTTTGATTATCCTTATTGAACACTTACTGTAGGCCACTTACTGTGCTAAGCACCCTATACAAAATATCTCATTTGACCTGTACAGTGACCTATGAAGTAGGTGACATAGATATTATTGCTTCCATTTTTATTTTTTTCATATGAGCTAAGTGAGGCTCTGAACTGTTAAGGAATTCCCCAAGTTCATATAGTGAATAAACCTCAAAACCAGGACTGTGTCCAGGTCTTCTGGCTCAACATCCAATGTTTTTCCTGCAGGAAAACCATTCACTGGTATTCAGAAAAGGAGAAGGACATTATGTCACCGGTTCCTTAATCTAGTTCATCAACTATAAGATCTTTAAAATATAATAGATTTCTTTGGTCCCAAATCTCAAGAAAAAACTATATATATATTTAAATATGTATTAAATAAATATGATATCCTAATAATTCTGATGCTCATTTATATTGGAATCTCTGTTAAATTTAAAGCCACCCCAAAATATTTTTAAAAACTCATTCATAAATAAAACAAATGTTTTAAAAACCTTATTATTATACTATTTTTAGGAGATTCTTAGATTCCTAAATTTTTAGGTTCCTACATTTTATAAGATTTAGGGTTTTCCTGATTGAAAAAAGAAAGTTCTAATCATGATCCACTCGGCATGTAATAAAGGAAGAATTACTATAAATTTTGTACCATATTTGCTCTTTCTAGGATTAGTCAGAATCACCACCACTAGGTGGAAGTGATATACCACAAATCTTCCCAGGTTCTTGGTCTGGAGAGTAAAATGGTCAATGTTCTAGAGGATCAGCATAAAAGGACATTTCAAAGGCTTGCTTCTGCTAGTACCCAAGAAAATCAACAGGCCAAGCATTAAAACAAACAAACAAACAAACAGGCTTTTAATTGCCTGACTGTGTGATTAGAAATCACTGAGGAAGAAAAATACAATTAACATCTGTATTAGAAATTGATTCTCAGATATCTTACGACATTATTTATGATAGTCCTGAAAATGGGGAAATGTACTATCATGCCCAAAATACATGTTCTCTATACCTCAATCATGATAACAGCAATAAAAAAGTATAGATATGATATAGAGGAAATTAAGAAGTATTATTACAGTTACTATCTAAGATACGTATTTTTGTAAATCTTAAGGATTGAATTAGGCGGTAATCCGACAACCACATGCCATGTGTTTTAGGAGAATGAAGCAGTGGTTTCCATCAGAAGAGCTGGTGGTGAAGTATCTTACAGAAGATGAGTACAGGGAGCAAGCTGATGCTGAAACAAATAGCGCTCTGGACGAGCTGCGCCGGACCTGCCGAAAACCTGACTTCCCCTCATGGCTGGTCATCTCCAGACTCCACACTCCTGGAAAGTAAGTCCTGCTGTGCTGCTCTGACCATAGTTTAGTTCAGAATGATTTTGGAAATAATATGGATTGGTACAGGCACTTCAGTGTAGAAATGGGCTATTTCCCTGGATAACAGATGATGTGGAAGTTGTCAGAGGTCCTTTTCTCAGTACTGTGACTTTGCACAGTAGAACTGCTGATGTCAGAGTAAATATTTATTTGATGTTTTATAGGGAAGGCCATAAAGATAACTTCCCTATGGGAAGGGAAGGTGGAATAGGATGTGTGACTGCTTCTATTTCTATTGGTGTGGAAAATCATTTTTAAAGTTCACTAAGAAAGACATCTGTCCCAGCATTTCTCCTTATTGCTTTCTCTTCTTTATAACTTTATCCAGGTAACAGTGCCCTCAAATTAAAGATGGAAGGGGAAAAGTATTTGACACAAAATAATGAATAATAATAAATTGAAACTAATAAAAGAGACAAGAAGGAATTAGAAAACAGGAGTGGGTACATTTGGCTCACTTAGTGCTTTTACGTCTCCCTGTTTCTCTGCCCTTTTCATGAGTAGCTGTCCTAAGAGGGATCACATAAACCATTCTCATTTTTACACCCACTGTGTAAATGTCACCCTCTATTGATGGGAAGTCAAATTTAATTAAAGGGGATAAATAGCAAGGGAACATGTTATCTTTCAAATAAACCTTCCCGAGATAACATTAACTTCATTTAAAACAAAAAACTTATTAGATTTGCAGAATTTGTTCTTGGAGGAAGCCACTTGTCACCTGAAGAAATCAGTCTGCATGAAGAGCAGTATGGCCTTGGGGGTGCCTTTTTGGAAGAGCAGCTCTTTAACCCAAGTACTTCCTGACACTCAACCTTCAAGTTGACTTCATTCTGGACAAGGAAATGGGTAAAGGGCAGGGGGTCTTTTAAAGTTAGGCAGAACTGTTCTACTGAACAGTGGCAAAAACATCTGCTGTGGAGAAAAGTCATTGTGGGAAGGAAAACTAACCCATTTTGAAGATAACTTAGCGTTCTTGGTGAGTTCTGCTACTTATTGTACTGTAGGTGGGTATCAAGATTCTGTGACAGCCATTACCACTTTACTTGAATGAAGACTTTCACTAGGAACAGGGGAATGATGTTCTTCAAAGGGCTAGTAAGCACGAACAGGTGCTTTGTTGAGACCAGGGCACTCACACCACTTTTAATCCCCTGAATCTGTGCCAGAGAACTCTGAAATACTCTTCCTATATTTCATCAGTGTAAGTTCAAAAAGAGACCTGAGACATGCTGGGCCAGTTATTTTCCAGAATACAGCTCACAGGATACTACTAAGTGTTAGTCAGTAAAGGTATTCTGAGGTCAACTAAGATTGATACAAAGCTAAACTAATGTTCCTCAGGACCTCTCAGAGGCATTATTCATGCTCACGTGCACTGTGAATCTCCCAAAGGGGAGAAATTATGCAGTTTCTTGCTTAATTTGACCACAGAACTCTTTCATGAGATTAATATTCTTTGGAACACTTGTTTGGAAAATGCTAATGATGGTGGAATTGAGCTCTGGAGAGGTTAAATAACATGTGCAAGACCACATTGAGAGACAGCACTGGTAGAAATCCAGCCCTGGTGTATCCTTTGACTCAAGACAAGATCTTCAGGTATAAGCTTAGGAGCCATCTCTCTCCAGCCACAGGCCTCACAATATTGGTGACTTACTTTTTATTTTTCAATATTGGCCAACTTGCTATTTAACTGTGATAAAGGGAAACGTTTCTAAGATATTTTAAAGCTTTTTATACATACATAAGATTTTTATATACATATGTAAGGATTAGATACTATGATTATTCTTTTTTTGTATTTTGAAATTGAAGGCATTTAACCTCTTGTGACATTTTGAATTGAATTTGAATTTAAAAAAATTGTTTAGCTGTATGTGTTTATAACAATTTCTTACAAAACAAATTTTTTTTCTTGATTTATGATATTAAAATCTGGAGTGGAATAAGGGGCTAACTGTGAGCTTTGACCCTGAGGAAAGAAGGCCAAAACATAGATTTGAACATGGCAAGACATTCTCCAGGTTAAGATATTGCTAAATTGGTTCTGAGAATCCAAATTAGGCTTTTTTGCTGTGATGGGGTCATAAAAATAATCTTTTTATTAGGACAAGGGTTATGGGGGAAGGATAGACAGAATTTTGGCACTGCTGCTTTCCTGAGCCAAATTTAGTAGAGTTTTTCTAAGTCATGAAAAAAGAACATGGCTACCCATCTGGAATTTTCTAGACTAATTTTCAAATGATAGTTCCTCTTTGAAGTAGTATGTCAGTATTTACGGGTCTACTTTTGCCAGACATCTTTTCATACTAGGAACTTTTTTTTTTGTAATATTCACTAATGTTAATCTGTGCCTTTATATCGACTTTGATTTTAAAAAACCAAAGGCTCTATTTCCCATTCAGATTTATGGTAACTATTTTATGAGTAAACAGAAGTTTGAACATTTTTCTTATGGTTTAAAATGATTTTTTAAATAATTATATTTATTGGTGATATAAATGTAGCAGATGTATCAACGCCTGTGCTCACCAAGTTCTCTTCTAAGAGGAAGCTTGTGTGATACAAAATAAGCATATGAGTAAATAACACATGAACAATCTGCTGGGGCTGCTGGGTACGTCCCAGCCAGGACAGCCACTGGGCCAGGGGAAGAGGTACTGCTGAGGGAAGGAAGCAGCTCCTGTGGGCAGCTAGCCAGATGTAACCATCACAGTAAAAACAGCCAAAGGGAGAAGAACAACAGCTGTCCTTCAGGATATTGTTTTCCATGTTTGTTTTTAGAGGAAATCATAGGTTTGTCAGTTTCTGCTTTGTGACTACTATGACAAGTTAAACAATTAAAAGCTTTTGATATTTTTAGTGTATTTATTTTGTTTTCATTTGATTTGGGGTATAGTATAGTACTGATCACAATTCTAATTCCCATCAAGCAATGTACAGATAACTTGTAAGAAATCTTTCCCTCCTTTCTCTCCTCCCTTCCCTTCTCTATGTCCCTTACCTCTTCTCTCCTCCTTCCTTTTTAAAGGCCTTTGAACAGTTTAAATGACCACTCAATAAAATGGCTCTGCCCTTCACAGGTGGTTGGAAGTTGGCTTTGTGCTTCACATACCACAGGTGTACAATTATGGAGCCTAACATATCCCTTTGTTATGTTATTGCTTATGTTTGGTGCCTGCAAAAACTTATTGTTGTTAGCAAATTAGACGGTTTGACACCAGATGTGTGAGTGAGATATAGTGTAGGTGGCCATGCTTAAACAATCGTATCATTCAAGTGTTGTTTTTAAAAGGTTTTAAAACACATTTTACATATCACAAAAAATGCTTTGTGAATTAGTCGTACAGTTTGCCAGTTATACTTAGGGCTGAATTACAGGGGAATGTCCATCTGACATGAAAGATAATATTTCCATTTATGACTTTTTTTTTTAATCTGAAAATTTTAGATATTTAGATTTTAAGAGGCTTGGAATAGATGATGGATTACATCAAAATATCTAAATATGTGGGAGAATTAAGATCCTGAAATGATGTCAACTAAAGAAATAGTCTCTTACATTATTCTGTATGTGGTTGTTTCCCAAAGTTAGAGATGTACAAATTTATAAATTAGTTTTTCTTGTCCAGCTGAAAGCAAGATCCTAGGCATAGGTAACATAATGGATATGGAAGTTTGAAGAAGCCTGCGGGAAGACAGAGAGGTACTTTTAGATGACAACACTGGCAAGCTTCCTTCTGAGAGAGCCTGTTGGGTGGCACGACATTGAAGAGTAAACTATTTGGGTGTGACTGTTAGCCTTATTGACTCAGAACCCTGCTTTTTGTTATTGCACCATAAAACCTGTCTCTTGTGAGCCAATTCATATAGTTGGTACAGGTAGTGATTCACAACCAAAAATATAACTACTATAAGGATAAAAACACTTGAATTTATATGACTAGCAGATTCTCTCTCAGAAGACAGATTTACAAGGAATCAAATTATAAGGTGGCTGCTTGGTGAACTGAAACCAAAGGGAGCTTGTTGTTTAATTCACATGGTTAATGTCATGAGGCCAAAGAGTTTAATGCAGATGCCAGCCCCACCTCCACCCTAATGGGGCTAGCCTTGCTAATGGGATGAGATACCAGGTCTGTTGACAAAGACCATCCCTTCCTTTATGCAGGTCCTGCCCACAGTTTCCTCTCTGTGACTGCTGTTTTTCTAATCTTCATTAATGACCAACATCCCACCCCCTCTGATGGGAATATTTTTACTCAGATATGTTAAAATCTTCTCTGGCCTAGAAGTTGGATTATCTTTTAAAGGTAACTGTATATTTCTGTTATGATTCCTGAATGTGATACCTTAATAGGTCACCAGAGATTTAAAACGAGTACTATATTTATCTAAGATAAATCTTGGAAGATGCAGTTAGTGGATAGCTTCTCTTTATTATTTAAATAATTTTGGGAATCTGATTTCTTTTTAGATTTGGTTCTTTTTCCAAAAAAGACTGATTAAAAAGAGAAAGGGGAAGAAAACCAACATTTATTAGAATCCATCAGGCAGTATATGAGGCACCTTCTATACCTCTTAATTTGCGCCTCATGACCACTTTGTGATATGTTTTGGTATTTTCATTTTACAGATGAGGAAAGACCCAGAAGGCAGGAGAAAGTTGCTGAAGGACACATGTAGCTAAAGTGGTAGAATCAGAATTTAAGCTCCTATGTGTCTGCTTCCAGGGCTCATGTTCTACTTCCTTTATTGCCATCTTAAGAAAATTAAGGAAACGACCCCATGGATAATGCATTCAAGAGGTGACTACATATGCTGATGTTACACGCATACCAGTCATTTGTGTTCCGCAGTTATGGACACTGTAGTCTGTGGCCCTTGTCAGTGCTTCTCAGGCTGTCTAGGGTGATGGACCAGTTTCCCTGTAGTTCATCACAAGTAATACTTCTGAAAGATACACTAAATTATTAGAAAAATGAAATAATCTTTAAAAGACATACAGAATATAAGCATGATGATCATAATGTCATGACAATGTCAGCTTGCCATACATATTTTGAAATGTTTAATTTCTGTGTTGTCACATACCAGCAGTAGTTTGACAGCACCAGTCCTTGAGCACACTTTGAGTAGCACTGGTCTACATGTTATTTTTCTAAGATGCCAGTGATCTGTTCAGGAAACAAAAAAAATCCTGACATTTTTCAAATATAAGTTTATAATTTAAAAGAATAGCATCTTCCACTGACTGTTGGATAGAGTATGGTATGTAATTTGTTAAATGATTATAAAATTATTGTTTACTTTTGCTGACACCTTGAAGAAGAAAAGGAAAATGAAAATTATGGAACTTATAACTTCTCTCTGCAGACTTTGCACTTTATGGAATATCATTGTTGTCATTCTTTTCCATCCTCTTCAACTTATGTTTTCCTTAATTTTATCTCTTAACTCATATCCCCAACCACTTAATATTTATAATGCATGTTGGAAATGAATGCCTTATTATACAGCTTACTAGATAGAAGTAAATATGTACAATATGGCACTGTAGATTGTGATAATGGAATATGATTATAGATTTAAATGGCAATAAAGTAATAGCGCTAGACCCTGGTTGGGGAAATGAGACAGCACTCCTCCTGCCCCGGGCTTTTTGCTACACAACAGTGGCAGTATTTATGGAGCACACACTGTGTGTCAGATAACTCATTTTAAACATCAACCTGTAATGTACATACTGTAATCATTTCAGTTTTACAGAGGAGGGTCCTGAGGCCCAGATATGTTTTATGTGAGTGTAACTTCTCACTGGCAGAGCTGGGACTCAAATGCAAACAGTGCGACTGCAGAGCCCACACTCCTAACCCCAACACTGTAAGGTCCCTTGGGTTGTCATCTAAAAACTAGGACTTTCCTGGAGCCATAGTGGGAGGCAATTGGTCCTGTATTAGTTGCCCGAAGCAGATGGCAGCTGGTTGAGAGTTAGGTACCTAGCTGGACTAGCACTCAACTAGACTGGCTCACTTTTCCCCCATGTTAGGTATCAGCAAGTTTCCAGTTACTCTCTTATAAGAAGCCAGTTTGTCCTGGCATAACGCAAATTACTTTCTGAGATCTGACAAACAACTCCCCCTTTCACCCCTTTTCTGTCCCCACCTAGGTACCAGTCTGTCTCCCAACTGCTTCATGGTTTGGAATTCTTAAGCCAGATATTCTCAAAGCTTTATTAAACAAGCCCAGGAGTGGTTTGGGGCTTCAAAAGTAGCCTTTGTCTTGTCTCCATGCACCAAAGGGTGGAAGAACTTCCAAATAGAAAATCACCTCTTTGTTACCTACAGTCACTGTCAAAGCATACCCTCATCTTTACAGAATAACATAATCTTCATCTCTAACCCCTCATACTGAAGCTGAATAAACAGGCCCAGAGATCTCCTGAAGGTGATCTCTTCCTTTATACCCTTGCTGTCCAATATGATAGCCATGAGCCATGTATGGCTGTTTAAAATTAGAAACCTAATTCCCCAGAAAATTAGCCACATTTCAGTTAATAGTCACATGTGGCTTATGGCTACTGTACTGGACAGGGCAAATAGAGAACTTTTCATCTTCTCAGTAAGTCCTACTGGACAGTGCTATTCTATGATGCTGTTGCCTTGGATACAGAGTTGTGGGTGTGTCTGCTTTCCCTTCCTGATTCCCATGGCTCTGGCCAGAGTCTCTACCATCCTCTGGGTTTCCTGTGCAGAGTTATCAATCCAGCCAACTCACCTCCAGAGTATAAAGGGTCTGGTGTTCCTACAATTCACAAAGCATCAAGAATTTGCAAGATTTCTAGGAATCTAGGAATATCTAGAAATCCAAATGGAAATATAACCACATACATACATATATCAGGCATGTATTGTAATGGTTTAGGCTAGGCTGTTTTATGGCTTCCTCTACCACAACAGATGCAGGGAATGGCCTCCTGGCCTCCTGGGGTGGGAGAAGATACTAAGCGGACCAGGGCTTTGACACTAGGAAAATCTGAGTTTGAATCCTGGCTTTGTGATCTTAAGCTCATAACTTAAACTTAGCTTCAGAATCCTCTTATTTAAAATGGGGGTAGTGATATGTACACCTCCAGTTTTTGTTAAGGGCAAAATGATCATCTCATTAGCACACTACAGGCACCCAATATCCACAGTTGTGGTTACCTTTTCCTAGAATCACTGCTTAACTCCAAATTGGCTGAGAGGAATATTGCCTAAGTAATGGTCTCAGTACTTAATACCAGCAGTCCCCACCTCAGCAGTACTGGAAGGAATTGCCAATCAGAGGGAAGCTATTAGCCAACTATCCACTTCATGTGACCCATGGCAGGATTAATAAGCCAGTAAAGAGCATTGCTCTTCCTGTGAATTCCTTAACACTTTTCATAAGGTTTACTGCCTGCTGGGCAATGTATTATACTCTATTCTTAAGACTTGAGGAGTAGTTTAATAATTAGCAATTAACTTCTTTGAATCCACACAAGCTCAGCACTTGGGTAATTTACTGTTTCTACAACCATAGGAGAAAGAGTAGGAAGTAAGTCCTTAAGGCAGTGATTACCAGCCTGGGCTCTGTGACACCCCTGCGTGTGTTGAGGGACCTCAAGAACAAAATCTCAAATAAAAATTTAATTTGAATTCACTTTAATATTTTTTAAAGTAGCATATGGCACTTTGGGGACAGGAAGAAAAAGTCAGTCACAAAGTACACAAACCCATGAAGGTGTCAGCTCACAAGGCTGGAAATGACTGCATTATTGATTCTGCTGTCACAGTAAATGTTCCATAACAAAGGCATGTTGAATTTGGTCTCATTCATTACAGAGTAAAGGACTTTTGTTTGGTCATATCCTTGTCATTTAAGAAACATTTAAAAATGGTATTTATTTTTATTTCAACATGTCAACTGTGCATTTCCAAAACAGCAGGCTTTTCAAAGGAATAAATCAGAACTGTAAACACAAGATACAGTATAAGTTTTTGACTTCCTACAGTCAGTTTCACAAATCCACATACTGTACATAGGTGAGGTTCAGCCTGTCACCCATTTCTTTATTTCTATAATTACACAAGTATAATAAATACATCTGATTTTAAAGGTCACTTAAAATGAGTCATAATTTACAGTACAGTACGTTTCAGTTCAAGTGCAAAAAATAACCATTTGCTGAATTCTACTTCTTTCAGTTATTTTACTTTTAAGCTGTGTTTTGTGGTGAAGCTAGACATCCAAGTGTAGAATTTCTTATCCCAAATGCAGTATTGGGCAGAACTACGGTGTCATGGAGAAGCCCTCACTTTACAGTTGATCCTGTCTAAACAGGGTCATAGGGCAAGGTGATTTGCTCATTTCTCTTATTTTTTTCTTTCCTCTCTCCTGTGCTCATCCACAGCTATTATAAATTATATAATTCACCTTTATTCAGCTAAAACAATGTCGCTCTTCCACACTCCACCCAGGTTTCCTATTTCCTCTGCTTTGACTTTAAGCAGCAAGGTTTATGTGTGACCCACCCAGCCATTGTTCTGGCTGCAGTTGTAACATTTGCAGTTGCATACACTACATTGTCCAGTGTCTGACTGTGTCTTCATGAGAAGGAGTATACTGAGATTTCTTTCTTTAGTCATTGGAAAGTATAGTTGCTACTTATTGCCATCCTTCCCATTCATGGTTTCCTATTTACCACCTTTTCTCACCAAAAACAAAACTGACCCAATATGTGATTTCTAAAAATTGTATCCCTCCCCCAGGCACTTAAATCCTATACTGTTATTTGTAAATAGTACTGCTTAGTTAAAGGAACTCTTAGGAATTCAGTGATTTTTGTGTGTGTTTCATTCACTCAGCTAATTACAGCTTGAATCACTATAAGATAGTAAATAGCAAGAGAGGCTATTTACAGTATCAATATATTTAGTAAACTCTTGTTTATCAAGCCACAGGATACTATTTTGGTTGGTTGATTAGAAATAATCCCTCGTTTCTGTTTTTTTTTTTCTAAAAGCCCATTGAAAACAAAAGGCATTTTTAAGCTCAGCTTAGGTTGCAGTAGTCAATAATAGCTTCTGTTGCTCAAAGAATTATTTCCATTATATACCATACACATACAAAAATATATTTGCTAAAGATATGTAAAGTTTCTGATGAAACTTTTAACTTCATTTTTTAACTTTAACTTTTAACTTTATTTTTAACAAAAGCACATGTGTTACTAACTTTTATCTGGTGACTTTTAAAATATATCTTGTAATTTTTAAAATGGTTCTCTTCAAGAAAAACAAAAGTATAGATGAGCTCTATTTCTTCCCAGTTTGTATTAAGAACCAAATAATTAGAATAAATAATCAGAAGAGGGAAATTATATCAACATTCACCTCAAAACACTTTCATTCCCTCCACTTAGTGTAACTGCTGGTTTCAACTCTTACTGCACTGGCAGAGAAATTCTATCATCCTTAACCAACCAAAGAACTGAAAGCCCTCATTGAACTCCATTTCCCTGTTGTAATTCCAATGAGGATTATGAAAGTTTACCTTGTCCTGCCAATATGTACTGTAGCTCCTGTATGTGTGTTTCCATGTTAATGAGTTTAGATATTTAGAAGCATATGCAGTGCTCTGCTCCTCCAGGGGAGGTGTATCCTGGCTGGGGGGCCTCACCCTGTGTCCTGGCTGAGGAGCCTGATTCCATGCAGGGTGTGAGATGAGCAGGACGACCTCAGTGTTCTCCCGCGGCCGGCTGAGCCTGCTGCTCTTCACTCTTCTCTGTGTGCGGGTCCACACTGGGGTGAGCAGGGCTGGTCGGTGTCTGAGATGCTGCTGCGTCAGGGGATGGCTGGTTTCTAGATGTGTCAGAGTGTGTCTCGCATGGGACAGGCTGGGCTCTACCAGCAGGAGAATTTTCCCTATTGTCATTGGTCCCCTGGAGGTAAAAAACAGGAGATGCATCATGATCAGTGATAGCAAATAAATCTAACTTTTTATATACGCTTTCAAGTAAGATAGGAAACATGGGGAGATCATCCGGAAGTGCCCATATCAGGGACCAAGTAATATAGGAATAAGGATAGAATGTCTTACCTTTCATCTCCTTTCCTATGTGCAACTGCCAGAGCCGCATGAAAAACACAAACACTATAAGCAGACGTGTCTTGTGGAAAAGGAACATTACTACCAAAATGCCTGTTACTACTAGGCAAACAATTTACATCAGCAAATATTTACTGAGGTCCCCCTCCCCCCCGCCATGTGGCAAGTCGCTGGGCAAGCACTATGGAATAACTGAAACTCAGGCCGCCTGCTAAGACCACAGAACCTAAGAGCCAGAAGACACTTTGTCTAACAGGAAGTAAGTAAGGGGTTCTCATCCTTGGAAGCAGAGCTGGGAAAGAATATCCTGTAATTAAGAGTCCCAATGTATACTGATATTTCAAAATGTGCACCAAAGGTTAGATAAGACAGCCACATAAAAAAGTGAATGTAAACAAGCACTTGTGTAACCAACTGTAAGTAACCATGAGTATAACATCACCAGCAGCAATTTCTATAAATGCCAAATTCGTTGTACAAATAAGAAGGAAAATTTAAATGGATTCTCCCCGAAATTAGTACCCATCACTTTTTAGCTGAGCACCCCCCAAAAATTTTCATTTCTGTGATTCAACAATATAAGAAAAAGAAACTTAGTATAATGACTTCTAAGAATAACTACAGCATACCTGCCAGTTTTTATTAATCCTAACATACCAGAAAAATATTTAATTTGGCTTAAGCCTAATAGGCTTCTGTGAAAATGAGGATGAGTACACAAAGTAATGAAAATATTGCTACTCAAGCAGCAGATAATAAAATTACCCTTTCTCCTTCTTCATCTTCCTGCTTTAAGGTATTAAAATCCTGTATATGCTCCTCCCACTCCAATGTATAGTTCTTGCCTTAGCAGTGCGTTTATTATCTTGATAAATAAATCGCATCATGCACAGACTGGCATGCATATGGTTATCAGTAAAGAACCAGATTTGGTTAAAATTTTACAAAGATTTTATGTTAGTTTATAAGATTTTCTGAAAGGGGAATAACTCAAATTACCCTTCTTTTTAAATCTTTCTCCTTTATTTTTTTTTAATGTGCCCTCTGAAGCTACTCTAGACAGAGCTAACATGACGTATCAAGTAAAAGGGAGTGATTATTATAAAATGGGGGAACTGGGTCTCTTTCTTTGGCTAAACCATCTATGGAAGTTACACCTATTTTCCAAAGTGAGGATACACCTGTAAATTATCCACACTTTTATCAACATGATTTACTCAGGAAAGATCTTACTTTATTCAGGAGAGACCACTCCTCTGGGGACATGAAAATCACACTTTTAGAGTTATTTTTCAGGTGACGTCACCTGCGCAAATATAATTCCACTGAGTTAAGTGTCCTATTATACCCATACAGTGGCTCAGATTAATTTAACAAATATTTATTGTTGTCCTATAATATATAATGCCTCCACTAGAATTTTGAAATTACAGAGATTAATAAATATGGTTCCCAAAGGTATGAAATATATATTTTCCTTTCAACTGACAATTATCAACACTGAAATTTAAAAGCAATATATAAGGAAAGAATGGATTTATTTATTATTTTCAAGAAGTAAAAGAATCATATCCTCTGAAGTTTTCCTGAACTCCGTAAGGCAGAATATTCTCTCTATGGGACCTTGTATACACCCTCTTTAACTCAGTGCTCTCAGAGTACTGAAATTGTTTGCATATCTATTTCCCCCAGACTTTCAATAATTCCTGTTGAATGAAAAGTGAGTAATTAAAACAACTAAGCCCAGTTAAGGCATTTTGAGTGACAGGTAATATTGTTAGCCCAGCAGAGGAACTATACCTGTAAAGGCTGTATCTCAGAAGCACGGTTGTCTCTTGTGAGTTGCATCATCTCTTTAATTTGGTAGAGTGCATAGACAAAGGTCACCCAGGGAGAAGAGCTGACTCCCCAGGCTGGTTTGTTCACATCTTCCTGTTCTTCCTGGTGCCTCGTTTTCTTGGGTGGAAGTCTGGGCTCAATGCGTGGCATGACATCTTCTGTCTGTTGCTGTACCAAGTCAATGGTTGCTATAGGAACGGGACTAGAGGGAACAGGAATCCTTTCTGCCAACATTGTCTTGTCTAGAGAGAAAATAATGTGTAAACTATTTTTCAGCATTTTCTACATATTTAAACAAAAGTAAAAGTAAATAAATAAACCAAGAATCCCATATGCCCATTCCAGAGTGCTTGGTAATACTCATAAATTGCTGGTTCCGAATGACTTCATAACTTGGTGCAAGCACTGAATCAATAAACATGATGTTTATATTTGGGTCTCCTTATCGGGCTTAATAGACATTAACATATTTATTTAAGAAATCTATTTTTAATTTAACTTAGAACATCAGTGGGGCAGAGGTTATAATGAATATTGCCTTAGGCCCATTTAAGGATTATGATTTAGAAGACAGGCATCAAAACAGGAAAAGCCACATGATAGGTTTTTTTTTTTCTTTTAATTTTTATTTTGTGGCTGGGCATGGCGGCTCATGCCTACAATTCCAGCACTTTGGGAGCCTGAGGTGGGTGGATCACAAGGTCAAGAGATGCAGAACATCCTGGCCAACATGGTAAAACCCTGTCTGTACTAAAAATACAAAAAATTAGCTGGGTGTGGTGGTGCATGCCTGTAGTCCCAGTTACTCGGGAGGCTGAGGCAGGAGAATTGCTTGAACCCGGGAGGCAGAGGTTGCAGTGAGCCAAGATCACACCACTGCACTCTGACCTGGCAACAGAGCAAGACTCTGTCTCAAAAAAAATTTAAAAATTACTTGTATAGGTTTTTGGGGAATAGGTGGTATTTTGTTACATGGGTAAGTTATTTAGCGGTGATTTGTGAGATTTTTGGTGCACCCATCACCTGAGCAGTATACACTGAACCCAGTTTGCAGTCTTTTATCCCTCACCCGCTTCCTACTCTTTCCTCTGAGTCCCCAAAGTCCACTGTATTATTGTAATACCTTCCTTTGCATCCTCATAGCTTAGCTCCCACTTATGAGTGAGAATATACAATGTTTGGTTTTCCATTCCTGAGTTGCTTCGCTTAGAATATGGTCTCCAATCCCATCCAGGTTGCTGTGAATGCCATCAATTCATTCCTTTTTATGGTTGAGTAGTATACCACTACTCAACCATATTTTCTTTATCCACTCATTGACTAATGGGCATTTGGGCTGGTTCCTCATGTTTACAGTTGTGAATTGTGCTGCTATAAACGTGTATGCATGTATCTTTTTCGTATAATGACTTCTTTTCCTCTGGGTAGATAATCCAGTAGTGGGACTGCTGGATCAAATGGTAGTTCTACTTTTAGTTCCTAAGGAATCTCCACACTGCTTTCCGTAGTGGTTGTATGAGTTTACATTCCCACCAGCAGTGTAAAAGTGTTGCCTTTTCACCACATCCATGCCAACATCTATTATTTTTTGACTATTTGATAATGACCATTCTTGTGGGAGTAAGGTGGTATCACATTGTGGTTTTGATTTGCATTTGCCTGATCATTAGTGATGCCGAGCATTTTTTCTTTTCTTTTCTTTTCTTTTTTGGCCATTTGTATATCTTTGTTGGAGAACTGTCTCTTCCTGTCCTTAGTCCACTGTTTTTTTCTTGCTAATTTGTTTGAGTTCCTTGTAGATTCTGGATATTAGTCCTTTGTTGGATTTATAGACTGAATATTTTCTCCCACTCTGTGGGTTGTCTAAACAGACTCTGCTGACTGTTCCTTTTGCTGTGCAAATGCTCTTTAGTTTAATTAAGTCCCATTGATTTATCTTTGTTTTTGCTGCATTTGCTTTTAGGTTCTTGGTCATGAAATCTTTGCTGAAGCCAATGTCCAGAAGGA